GTACTTAGACCACTCTTAGATTCCCCTGTGCCAGATTAAATAAGCCCTGCCACCTCCACCCTCCCTGTAGGTCATGTTCTCTGGGTAACCAGTTTGGTAGCCCTCCAGTGGACCAGTTTCAGTTTCTCCACATCCCTTTTGTACTGATTGTGCCAAAACTGGGGTTGTACCCTAATAAGGCCTCACCAGAGCTGAGCAGAGAAGAGCAAGAGGCCCTCCATGTGCTGGCCAGGGAGTGGTCCTCAGTGTGTGTTTTGTCTGTCCTGTGATGGGAGTGCCCTGCTGGCTTGGATTCAGCCAGGCATCCCCTTTGAGCCTCTTTCAGCAGGACTGTGCCCTGCCAGTCTGCTCCTCATCTGTACTGGGATCCTGTACTGGTTATTCTTCCCAGGTGGAAGATCACGGTTGGTTTGGATTGAAGAGTGTTTTTGCATCATTTGCAGATTTGCTGAGGATGTGTTATTGATGACAATAGTGAATGATATGACCCTTGGTATCAATCCATGGTGATCCAATGGGATGACCCCCCAGAAAAACACATTTTGTCTGAAGTTCCATATAGCCAGATCATGAGGTCTCATCCATCTCATCCTTAAGTAGACATGTAAGCAAGACCACATAAATCACAGTATGGATGGGCTCTTTTCTTTGTTGACAGCAGAAGCAGCCTAAAGTGCTTGATGCAGACATGGATGTCTTAAATTAGATCAAATTAATCCTATCTATGGCTGCTAAAACTCCAGATGTGGAGGTATCATTTATACATACATGGCCCCACAAAGCCAGTCCCTTTTCCACCACAAGTTGAAAAGAACAAAATTTCCAGTTCTGCAGCAAGTTTTAATTTTGGGAATGGAAACTTTAATTCACTATTAAACTGTTGACATAGAAATGTGAAAAATGTGCATCATTGGCACTAGCTGTTTTAAAAATAATCTTTTATTGGCACTACTAGGAAAGATGAGTAAGTTTTTTACAAACTCACATAGTTTAGGAACTGTTGTGAGCAATTAAGAGAGTGAAGAGTTAAATCTGGAACCCAGTAACCTTCATCATGTCCTTTTCAATGCAGTAAGATGCTGCACTTAGACTCTGTTCCCACACACTGCTCTAAAAGCATTAGGAAAGAGTACATTGTTTTTAAAAATATTTATATTTAATGGCTATCTTGCAACTACTCAGCAAATCTCAACTGGCTCTTTTGTTCCAGGCTTTTAGAAATAAGTACATTATCTGATTTTTGCAGAACAGTGCCCTTTCCAGCTAACTGCAGTAATAAAATGGTTTCACTGGCCACCTAAAAGCATGAGTGACAGTTTAGATGAGCACACTCTTTCAGATATATAGAAATTCCTCTGCTGTTGATTGCCATCTACACAAGATAGGTTTTAGCATTATTATTAACTTCAATCAGATCTTGAAGAGAAAAAAAAACCTTGTTTTAACTCAATTTTCACAGTATTTGTATCTTTTCATGCCATAAAGTAATTACATAATTATAGAATCATAGGATCATCCTAGAGTGGTTTGGGTTGGAAGGATACTTAACAGACCATCTTATTCCAACTCCATGGCAGAGATACCTTCCACCAGATCAGGTTGCTGAGAGCCTTTTTCAGGCTGGCCTTAAATATTTTCAGGGATGGGGTATCCACAGCTGCTCTGGGCAACCTGTGGTGTTGGTGCCTCACCACCCTCAAAGTATTTCTTCCTAATATTCAATCTAAACCTACTCTCTCTCAGTTTCAAACCATTCTGCCTGTCACTAGTGCTTTTGTAATTAGCAATCATCAGTTCTAAAAATGTTGGCATCCACAAGAACATTTCCCTCTTGCTTGAACCACCAGACAGAAAAGCTTCAGAAGGTTTTATAACATTCCTGCACTGGCCCCTGAAGACTGACAAAACAACTTAATTTTTCATTTCTGACTTGCATGGGCTTTTTATTTTTGTCCACATCTGCCCTTTTTGTTTAATTTCATGGATTTACAGGCTATTCCTGGGAAACAGAGCAGTTCCAGAATTGTTAATTAAATACTACAGCCAAGAAACAGCAAACCAAATGATAGATGGGGAGCCTTACCACCATGGTTATCTGCAGCCTGAGGGAAGAGTTTGTCCCAAAATAGCAAGGAGCCTGTCTCTTGTCACCCCATCCATTTTTATTAAAGAATCTTTCTGCAGCAAAGTCTGCCAGGTAATTAGCCAAGTTTCAAGTCACCCTAATTGCATGTGGCTCCGGAAACTGAGTACAACTCCATCTTCATACAGCTTCTAGGATGCAGCTTATCCTTGGAAATGACCAACGGGGACATGTTTTCTATCCATAGACACAGGAACAGCTGGAATGGAGACCAGTCGTGATATGCAATCAAGGAATTGCCCGTATGAATGGAATGGACTGCTTCAGAGTCCATGGAGGCCTTAAAATAGCTGTGAGCCTTTACCTGAAAATTTTAGAAAAAAATATATGGGCGATGTCTAGAGGATACGATCTTTATCACTTGTGATGTAGCTTCAGGCTCCCCTCATGAACAAGGCAAATGAAAAGCCAGGGAGCAGTCACAAATAACACACGGCACAAGGTTATTCCTAATTCATGGGCCAGGCAACAACCTGCCTCACCACATCACTCGGGGAATATGAACTGAAAGTAGAGTAAAACAGAGGACTTGGGTAATGGGCAAGGTATTTATACCCTTTGTGCTCCACAGAGCCAAAGAACAGTTTATGTAAGCTTTTATATAAACTTCACACAGTTTCCTTAAGGCCACCCAACCCAGAATTCAGTGGCTTGGGTAAAAATTAATTTTGAGTTGAAGTAATCTCCTGTGGAGGAGAGAGCTTGAAAATATGTCCTACAAAGGCCCAAAAAGCTGGACGTAGTTAACATTAAAAATACATGACTACCTCATTGGCAGGAGTCAGCATCAGAGTTTTTACCACCTAGCTCACGATTTCTGAGCATTTGGATGGCAGCACCGTGTCCTTCACAGAATTGCCTCTGGGTAATTCCTGTATTGTCATTCCCGTATTGCAGATGGGGAAATTGAGGCCAAATGTGCTGTGCCTGAGGTCTCACGGTGAGCCTGTGGCACTGTAGCAATGGCACTCGGAATGCTGACACCTGCTCCTTGTATTTCTCCAGCCACAAAGTTTTCGGTAAAATCAGCAGAAATGCAGGACAACGGCGTGCCCTGAAGTGACTACAAAGGCTTCTGAACAGGAATTATGAGCTACTGCATCAAAGGCCTCTTGCTTGACATTTATTGGCTTTTTGATGAATGTTGGGGTAATTCTACTGTCAACAGTTTCTCATTAGGAGCCTGGCAATGTACTTTCTGGCCATTATCTTTCTCAATATCACACTGAGTTGCCACAAAGAGCAGGGATTTTATGTAAACCCCATCTATCTCTGTAGCTGCAAACTTTTCTAATAATTCTACATTTAAATAATCTCATGGAAATGCTGGCTGCCTTATCTAAGCAATAAGGAGACTAGACAAATGGTTAAATTTCCATGAAGACCTAAAGCTACAGGACAAATCTCATACTGCAACGAGTAGGATTCGTTTGTCTTGATTCCGCTGGCATTGCACCTCAATTATACTAATTCTGAATTTCACTGCTGAATAATGCATTCCCTTCCTGCTTTATACTTGCAAAGGAAGGAAAAAAACATCCGAGCTGTGCCTTTCTCACTCTCCATAGTATGATTTACCATCTCCTGGCTGTTTGTGGTCAGTATTAGGAATTATTTTTGTCAAACCCATATATTTTCTAAAAAGAAAATAGTAGAAATATACCCTTAATACCATTGTGTATTTGGAAAGGGGAAAAGAGTTGATTCAACTTTGATGTGCCCAACTGCAGGAATTTTCATGCTATGAGTTTTAAAACATTAACACTTAATTTAAATATTTGTATCCTGGAATCATGATAATGGGAACATCACAGAGGTATTGTATATTTTATTGATTATGTATGTTATAGACAAAGAAATTAAAACAGAACCAGATGATAAAAGAACTAATGAAATTTGTACTACTACAATGGGTTTGATTCATGACTGTTGTTCATAGCTACTTAATATGAGAAACTTTAATTTTCCCTCCTAGAGGCAGGATGGCATTTTCAGCCTGTCAAATCCAAGACTTGTAATGCTGTGGAGTTAACTGAAAACAAACTTTTCCACCAGCTCTCTAACCTAACTTTAATGGCAGTGCAGATTAACCTGTTGGATTGAACATGGGTTTAGGTATTGATCTCATCCACCAGGATGCTGAATGAATGTCTCCTCCCAGGAAGACAGCCCGGTGTGGATGGCAGTGTCTGAGTCTGTCACTCGGCTCGTTAGAGCCCTGTCAGGAGCTCTGATGTAATGAGCCATGTCTCAGGGAGCAGAAGCAGCTCAGCTTTCTGAAGGAGTTTTTAAGGACACATTCCCTGCAATAAGGGAATGTTGACATTCAGGCTGCCTCAGCTGCTGATGTCAGAGAAGGCATGAGGTCTTCCAAAGAGGCACTCAGGTTTTATTCCAGACCTGTCCTCCTATAAACAATTACAGTGGATGAAATCATGTTTGGAAAGATGAGTGATGTTTTCCCTGTCAACTCTGCCCTGTCAGCATCAAGGATAATGTGATGTATGTACCTGCTTTGGTCTTCTCCACTTCCTGGCCCAAAATCATTCTCTGTGTAGACAGTGAGTGATGCTTCTGGAAAGAAACAATAAAGATTTAGTAAATCATATATAGAACACAGGGGAAAGGAAGAAGGAAATGAACACATGAAGTCATTCTCTTGTGGTCTTCAGTCTAGATAGGAATATTTTGTTTCTCATTCCTGTTTAATGAAACAGACCCTTTATGCCAATAAAACTTTATCATCTCTGGTTTAAGTGAATCCTATAACAAAAATCCCTATTCTGAATGTTAGGATACTGTATAAATATAGACATGGTGAATCATTCTGAGTTAATCTCCCTTCTCTTTTAGGACCTCACTACTGTGCTTTTTCTGGTTTTGTCTGTTGGTTTGGTTTTGAGACCTCAGCATGAAATCAGAACTCTTATTCTGGTTTTTTTCTCTCCCTCCTTGGGGGTTAATTTTGTTTTAATGGATGCTGAGATTCTTACATGACTAAAGTACTCATTCTTACATGAATCCTCAAATCTGAGACACAACAGATGAAAGAGTAGGGTAATGAGAGAATTTGGCTCTCTCAAAGAAGGCCCTGCAGGAGAATCACTGAGGTGCTTTCCAGAGCACCTACGCAGAGGACTGGAAAACTGACCTAATTTATCAGTTTTTCATTGGGACCAGCAAGAAGATTCATGCAAGGATGAATCTTGCATGGCCCCTTATTCACTAGCCTGAGATTATTATTAATTATCAATACTATTACTTATTTTTATAGTTACCATAATTCATGCTACAATCTGTTTAATCACGTGACAGCACTAAAGTTTGGGAATTTGGATTTTGATATCTCCTCCCCATGACTGGGCTTGGAAGCTGATCTTAATCACTTGAAATCAGAAGCCTTTGCTGCTTGAAATGGGGAATAGCATTTTTCTGGCAGTAAGAGAAGACTTTATCCTTTTACAGAGCCTAKGAAAAAGCACTTGGTCCCTACCATGTACTCATCACAGTAAAATGGAAGTTATTGAAGATCAAAGTCCTTTAGCTTTGCTGTCTGTTGATATTCCTGTAAGCTTTTAGTGGTTTTCCACATAAGCATTTATTCAGAGCAAGCAACCCAAGAACATTTCTATTGATAGCCTGAAATCTTTATGAAGTACTGGATGGTTGAAATGCAACACCAATTTTTTCAGCATTCATAACGATCCCAAACAGTGAATTTACCACAGGAAAAGTCTTAGTAAAGAGCTCAGTGGCAGTTCATAAGTTAAAAAAAAGTGTTAAAATGTCCCAGGCCTTTCCTTCCCATTTACTATAATATTTAAATATATTTCTATAAGCAATTTTTCAGACAAATCTGAAATGTAAATAAAATAAATAATAAAAAAAAAAATCCTCCAACAACAACAAAACAGACAAAACAAAACCAAAACAAATAAAAAACCCTGATTCACTTCCTGGCTTTCTCACAAAACTCCACTATGACCTTGGGCAAACTGACAGAGACCAAAAAGAAATGTGACTGTCCAGTCCAACCTCCTATTTATCACAGGTCATTGCTTCTGCCTGCTTTTTCCCCAAACAACATTTGGATTGGAGCTGTGGTTGAACTACAGAATTATCTAACTTTGTGATGAAAAAAAAATTTAAAGAAAAAAAAAAGAAGATGCCAACAGTGCGATCCACTCTCCTTGCAGTCTGGACTTACGGTTATTTTCTGCTTTGAACTAACCTGACTTCCCAGCATGGTACCAGAGCTGCCTTTTGTGGGCTCAGATAGACCGTTCAGTATCTTGATGACTTACAGGTAAAATGGGGCTAATCATTGGGTTTTTTCACTATGTTTTATTTGTGTTGTCTCTGTACACCTCTGTCTCACCACACCAGCTCTACAGTGAAAACTTGGCTCTCACTCCCCGTACACTCCATGTCTTGCACTACAGTTTACAGTGGACTTTTCTTTGATGCAGGATAATTGATATATGATTGATTGTTTGAGGTGTAGCATCTAAGTTACAACAGTGAGAAGGACATTTTAAAAATCAAGCAATGAACCCCAAAAATCTCTGTCTGAGGGAGGATCTGCAGATCCCCTGAAGTTCTTGTTTGCCGTAGAACAGAAAACACGCACTTTACAGCGAGGGCACCGTACACCGAACTGTCGGCAGAGGGCAATGGCAGCTCACAGCTTGAAGCGGCGTTCGGGAACTGCTGCCAGCCTTGTTTTTCGACTGGGTTGATCCCAGGGATTAGCCCCTGGTTTATTACGAACAGCACATGCGAGAAGGTACCCCTGCAAGTCAGGGGTCTAAGCTTTCTTCTCCCACTTTCCCCGCCTTTGCATCGTCGCTGACTACCTTGGAGGACCAGGGGCAATCTGATTCAAGACAGACAACTCGGTACTAAATTCCAGGGAGATCTCGGCAAGCAAGAGGAGTTCTGCTCCTGTTCTGCTTTAAGGAATACACCTATGAGAAATACAGGTGTGTCTGAAGAGCTGGGCCATTTAGCTGATCAATTTGGGAAAGCATGGCTGTTCTGGCTTTCCTGGGGTGTCCTCATTTTAGATCCAAATGGGCGTGTGTAGATTGGTAAAATGTTCTGGAGGGAACATGTGATTCAGAAAGACCTTCCAAGGAGATTGTGTCAGCAAGCCAGCTAGATGAGATGAGTGCAGTGTGACCGTCATGCCTTCATGCCTCGGGTTTTCAGGAAGATCCAGAGGGTGGGTCTCCCAGCCAGGCTTCAGCTAGCCGGAATCTCAGTGCTGCTTCTTCCATCCACCTTAACAGGTGAACGAAGTGGCATCATCTCTTCTTTCCATGACTCAGTTTCTCCACTTGTAAAGGACGTTCTAAAGTTCTGTGTGACACACTGAAGGCAGTGAATGATAAGAATTAATCAACTGTGGTGCTCACAGCCTGGTGATGAACTAATGTGCTTGTCACTGCTGGCCCAGAGTCTGCTGGGTAGAAAAAACTTCTGAAGGTGTTAGTCCAGATGGACTGTAAATGCCAAGGCACAGCAGGAGCTATTGAAAAACAAAAATATTCTCTCAAGTCCTCTCCCAGCAGGAACAATATTCCAACTGTAATGCTGATATCCTACCAAGTCATTCCATCCCTCAGGCCAGGTGAGCATTTTGCAGGTGTCTGTGAAGATAATCACTACACTGTTGTAACTATGAACGAATACAAATACCAGGTGTCTCTGTCTGTGCCACAGTTTTATTCTTGGCTTCATGAAAAGTAAGACAGCATGACCCTCTCTCATGATACTTTTAATAATATTTGGGATTTCAGGTAACACTGGTTATCAGCCAATTCTCCCCAAATTCCTGAACTGTAGAAAAAGGATGGGGAGCACATGCATTGTTCAAAGCCACCACACTGAAGGAAAGCCGCAACTTCAAACACCAAAAGAGCCAGTACAGGGGGCTGTGCTGGAGCAGCAGAGGAATTCAAACAAACAACATTGAACAGCCAGCTCTGGAATGCACTGAACTCAGCCAGGTCAACAAGAACACCGATAAGGTGGCAAGTGGGGTCCAGCCCAGGCCAAACCTGCAGGAGCCCATGGCAACGGGGTACAGGTTATGTCAGCTTTGTGCCCAGCAGCTTCTGGACAGCTCTCAGCAGTGGATTGAGTGGAAGATGTAATTTAAATGCTTAGCCATTTTCCACACAAAGGCTCCACTCAGACCAGTCAGCTGTGATTCAACACCTTTTCCACCAGACAGCCTCAGTCCTGCTGTGCAGGTGTGCTCCCACAGAGCCAGGACAGAGCTGACATGTGCTCTTGGCTTTGTTTTCCTCTCAGCCATTTTTGAGCTTTCCCTGACTGGGAGAAGCTTGTTCAGGCAGGAACCATYTCAGACTATGGCCATCTGTAACCATAGATATTGAGCCACCACCAGTAACATCCCTAAAAGCAAACAGCTGAAACTTTGGAACAAAAAGCAAATGTTACCTCAGAGCGATAAGCAGCAATGACAACAGACCTGGCAAGACAGTATTTTAAACCAAAAATGTGCTAAATAAATATTTTTGCAGCCTGTTTTGAATATTTTTTTCAAAGAAGGCAAAACGTTGGTTTTAGGAAAAAACATTCAGAACATCGGTTCTAAGCAAGGTTATTTTTTTCTTCTCAATTACAAATAAATTTTAAAATATTAAAATKAAAGTTTATGCAAGTATTTCCATATAAATTAAAAAACAAAACACTCTTTCATGTGGACAGAAAGTTCTTGTTAAGGCGGTGGTTGGTTACATGGAGGATACAAAAATAGCTGGTAATATAAGTGTATACGGGATGCCATTAAGAAATCAAGTGCTAATGAGACTGCTGAGGACTGAATCACGACTGCCTGTGGCTATTCCATGACAGATCTTCCAGGAGGTGTCTCCAGCAGTCATGAGTCAGATCTCTGCCTCTGCAGGAAACTCCCTACAGAGAAGCTGGCAGGTATGTCCTTAAAGGAAAAGGAACCAGGGTCTTCCCTGGCTTTAGCTCTTCCAACTTCAAGAACAGGTCACAGAGGCAGCTTGGAGTGAGCATGGATAATAACAGCCTGAGAAGTCTCTGTGCACTGGCACGAGCAGGAACCAGCAGCACTGCAAAGGTACAACAGATGGCTGGGAGCCAGGTGTGCTCCTGTTGGTCCTTGAACCGATGTTTGCTCTGACACTCTTGTGATCTTCAACACAGGCCTAGAGGACAGACTCTCACTGCCTGAATTAAAATCTTGCCTTTGGTTACCCTGGGCAAGGTTAATGACTATAATTTATTAAAAGGTGCATAATGACTTGTTAAATTATGTTGAAAATGGTAGTTGCATGAAAACAAGTTACAAAGTGTACTGACAAACAAAAGGTTTGCAATGTACTTGCTTCCAAATTAAACACAGCTGTTAAAAGTCATCCATTTGTCACTTTTGGAGGGCCAAGAACAATGTATTAACTACATACACATACAGATGCCATGTACTGTTCTGTTTGTTGGTACCTCAAATGCAGCTGTGTGATGGTTTCCTTCCCATAATCTGCATTCCATGGACTTCACAAGACAGCACCTAC